TCTTCAGCGTGTCTCACTGTCTATCTACAGAAGATGTAACAACTCAGATCATTACTTTCAACAAGCTTTTTGTATGCTACTCTGTCAGCATTCTTCATTCCAGTTTGAAAGAACATTTCTGATGGTTTTGAAATTTTGATAGGTACTGAAATTTCCAAGACGGACTGCAAAATGGAGGATCTACTCGCTATCTTTAATATCCATTTTCTGTTGCCAGTGGTACAACTAATGCAAAAGAGATATTTTTTTTCATTAAGTTGCTACATTCATAATACATGGATATGTACAAGTTGGCTGTATCTGGCTTTCATGGCTCAGAACTCAATCATCTTTTGTCTATTGGCAAATGCCTGCATTACGCACCAAGAGGCTCCTGCTAACATAGCAAACTTTCCTACTCAACCATTCAGAGACACATCTGATGTTAAGAAACTCAAGTGTCCTCTCCAAGGACATAAGCACCTGGGCAGAAAATCCCAACAAATACCTGCCCACCCACTGTGCTGCCTCCCATGTGCTACGCCTTACAACTCTCTTGGTGCATCCTTTTTCCCAGGGCTTCTTCCAGCCTTGTAAGTAAATGCCAACTTAGCTTGCTCCCTCCTTTTCCCTCTCTCTTTCATCCCCTAGCTTTTCTGAAGGCTTTTGCACAATGAACTCCTTTAGAAATAGTGTTTCTGGCTGCCTTCAGCATAGAAAAAAATAATGCAATGCCTGAGCAGCTTCCTTTGTAGTCCCTATTCAGAGCAGAGGGGAAATCCTGGCTGAGCAGCCAGCTCTCAGCACTGCGCTAGAGAAGCCCTACAGAAATGATGAATACCCCCACAGGCTTTCTCTGATAAATTTAACTATGTTTTGCCAGCTAGGTATCTACCTGGAAAATCTCCCCAAAGGTTTAATAATCACGGAGTCTTATTTGGCTGATGTTCTTGCAGAAAACTGTTTTATTAACACTTGAGCCCATATATTTAATAGTAGCCCTGCTGTATTGTAACAGCACTGTTACCTGTAACAGATCAGTATCCTAGGATCTGCTGTGTTACCAACACCAGTCCTCATGTCCAGAAGGTAACAGGGCAGCAAAGCAAAAGCAAGCAAAACAGCAAGGGGCAGATGTAGTGGCAGTTGGTCTGACACACACCTGTGAGGGGCAGCACCTGATCTGCTCCAAATGCCACACCTACTCTTCACAAACAGAAAAAAAATTGATTAAAAAATCCCTTACCACATATCAAAGTACAGGAATCAAATGGCCACTCTGCATGCCTTTATAGAAGGAAGGAGAAAACAAACCAGCCTGAAGACCTTGAAAGCTCGCTGGGATTAATAGGTGTCAAGGAGCACTTTCTGATTTAGTCTTTGACAGGTTGCCATTTTCTACATTCTTCATGCAGCTAGAAACTATATAATTATCCGTGTATGTTTCCCAGTTCTTAAAATGCCAGGCAAATGACTTTTTGCGTATTTTCCCGTAGAGTGGATTTTCAAAGCTGATTTTGGTAAAACATTGACACCTTGTGGCACAGAGCAGCAATCACACCCGGACAGCCTCGCAACTCCAGGAAGGCATTCCCCATAAATAGATGGCGTTCCCCACAACTATTTCGAATTATTGATGAGCTCAGTTTTAGCTACCAGCTTTTTCTTAGATCTTTATCCTGACGTGGTTCTTGATGTTCACAACATTCACAAGAATCTTGCCAATGATAGGCATAGTTATTTATACAATCTTTATTCAAGAAAATAGCAATTCTGCTAGGTCTGTAATTATTACTTATTTAATTTATTAGTTTTCCTAAAAAAGCACACAACACTCTTATTCATCTTTTCAGTCCTCCTGACCTTACTTCTAGGAATCCAAGTGCTTTGAAATATACTGGCATTATGCAGAATTGCTAACAAGAAAGATGTGCTGCCTGTTGGTTTTATACAGGTTAACAGGAGGACTCCAGCTGCGTGGAGCTTTCTCAGCAAGGCAGAATTTCTATTATCATTATTTTAAATGGACATAACTGAATGGAACAGATGCAGTGCTGTACAGACTTCGGATTAATCTGAAAACACTGACTTTACATCAGCTGCATTGGCTGAAAAAGACTGAAGAGCTAACGATTTGAAAACAATTCTTCTTTTAGTTTGTGGACCGTTCAAATCAGAAAGTATTAAAAAGTCAAGTGGATGAGAATTCATAGGAACACGAGAAAAAAAACCAAGATTGTGCCAGCCACTCATGTAAAATATTTCAAATTTCACACAACTCCCAATTACTGTCCCATTCACTGAGCACCAGCTTTCAGTAGCAGCACTAATTACTGACCTGCCAGCGTCTTTTCTGACCTCCATTTAAACAAGAGATCCTGCAGATGATTGGGATTTTGAGTGAATGATGATCTGATTAACATGACTGGCGAGCTATTCCTGGTATTACATTATGCAATTAAGACGTTATGCCTGCATTCATATATTTTATAACTGTCTAAAAATTAAAATCTTTTCTGTCAGCATAATAACGCTGCTGGGACTGTATGCCTCAGTTCCAAGGGTATTCTGGGGACAAGAGTGAAACCCACAGTGTTTTATAAAAAGCACATCACAGTCGAAGTAGTGATATGCAGGAACAAGGTATTTGGTGTCTCTATCATTTGTCATTGAGAAGTTTCAAATCTCGACAGCCTTTTTGCATCAAGATGCATTTTTTTCCAACCTGATGGCAAAAGGTGTGCTCAATCTGTATGTTTTACATTGGCGTGGTGAAAATTAAAGAATAAATCTTAAGTAGGATTCACTTGAAACATCAGACAACAAACAGGTCAAATATGGAGGCACTGGCACATGACTAATGGCACACTTGCACAAAATGTGATGACAAGAAAATAACTTCTCCTCTTGTAAAGGAGCTCGTGATAGCCAATTATTGCAGAATCTAATGATGCATTAAGTGCTTGCTACTGTGGGCAGCGCACATCCACAAAATCACAGAGCTTGTGTAACACACATTAAATCCTAAATATCACCCCTCACTCAGCATCAGGGCTACAATACAGGACCTGGCATGTGCTCGGCCACATCTCCCAACCTTCAGGTTTCACGGCTTGTCATAGAATCACAGAAGTATAATTTAGGGTGGAAAAGACCTTCAACATCATCAAGTCCAACCATCAACAAGACCTACGGAGCCCCATGGCTACAGCACGTTCCTTAGTCATGGGCAATCCAATATCATCAACACAGGTCCAGAAGATGCGCTGTGGCTGGGAGATTTCTTGTCTGATAAGAGCAGTACTGCCGGCTGGGGAGGCAAAGATGCGACAATTTGCACCTCCCTTATCCAGTATCAGCAAATGTGCTCACCACACAGACTAAACCAGTCCTTGGTTACATTGCTCCTCTGCTAGCTCCTGTTGTGAAGGTGCAGAAAAGCCAAGGGACAAGTTCCTCTCCTCAGCCAAGCCTCTTCTCAACTCCAATTTATTTCTGTCTACTCCTGTCCCACCGGCACCCCAACTCACCAGGTGCTAGGATACCTCTTGCATCTAGCAGTGCTACAGAGCTCACAGGTTTTTCCTGCCTACCTGCTTTACAGCCATTTTGGAGCGCACACAGTTACCCTGGGTCTTTAATCTGGGCACACTCTGTGAAATCAGGGGCTGTATCATGGCCATTAGGAGAAGCAATCTGATTATCTGTGAGATCCCAACACTTTTTTTGTTCAAATGCACCTTGATTTACACCACTTTACTACCTTTGTGGAGATTTCTGGATTTGCATTTGCAGTAGAAGCAATGGAGCTCATTTGCCTGCATATCTTTTTTGAAGAGAATATAGTATCACTTAATGACAGCAAATAACTGTGTTATTATGCTTACACACAGTAAATTAGCCAGACAACTCCAGAAATAGAGATTGCAATTTTTCCTTCTTACTCCATGGAAAAAAAAAAAAAAAAGGATGTTTATCTCCAATCTGCAGTGCAAAGATGTTTTAACTTTCTTGCTGTCTCAATGAGTCCTTAGAAAAAGGGAGCTGATAAACATGAATTTCTATCTCAGAAAAAAAAACAAACGAGTCTTCCTTTCCTCCTCTGCTCTCACCTTCTGTTTGTTAAGTCCTAGGAAAGAATAAAAACTGTCACTTTCACAGCCCACAAATGAGAATCAACTGTCCTTGCTAAGAGCTTGGAGAAGATTAATTCAACTTCCCTTCGCCTCCGCCGTGGACTGTATCTGTTGCAATTTTAGTGTTCAATCACCTTAAAAACAGGGTTAGATAAAGAAATCTTGATTCTGCTAAAATCCTTTACCTATGATTTTTTCTGATTAGTACCCAAACACTTGCTTCTTCTGACCTATTTTCTTGCCACATTCTTGGGTTCCCACAGTGCTAAAGGTAGCACAGGGGGTTCAGAAGGTCTTCTTGCTTTTGGAAACATCTAGAAGCCGAAAGCTTCAGACATCAGTGAGACTGCATGTCAGCTACTCAGAAAGCCTCCAAAATCTGATTGTCTAGCAGAAGCTTTTTGAGAAGTAATGGCATTTTAACATAAGAGATGTGTGAACCACACGTCAGAATGATGATGTGCCCTTTTCCAGCCTTGTACAATTCATTTGCTACAGCTCCTGCCAAATGTGGAATCCCAACAAAAAAAAATAATGAGATCTTTCCTCTCCATGGGCTGTATCACGCAAATATTTGAACTAGAATTAAGAGCTGCTAAAGCTCAGAAATTCTCACATCAAAATACAGCCACAGGAAAAGCTCAGGAAAATTATCCTGTGTGAAATTTGAATCTGGCTAGTAAGTGGATGGCACAGTCCCAAATCTTCCAGCTTGAAGTGGGACAGAAAATTTGTTCAAAAATTGATCCATGTTTTTTTCTCCTCAATTTCCAAGCCCTCGCATGCAATCAGTCATTCCCCTTTGCATTCTTGCCTCAGCTGCCACACCTGAAGGGCCACAGCGCATGTGCAAGTAGAGCTGGGGGAAACACCTTTCTGCTGGTGGTGAAATAAACAGTATCACGAGTCACTCTCTCTGCCACTGAGGAGGTAAAACCAGCAAGAAATAAAGGGATTGGGCTTGACTAAATATGACTTACGGACTGGAGCAGTTGGTGGAGCTACTGGCTGAGCCCCAGGGAGAGCCTGCAGCTGAGCTGCCTTCACCGAATTTGAAACAACAGGTGAGATTTCAGTTTGCCAGCCTCTCTCTCTCACTTTCTATTCCATCCATCAAAAAAGAATTGATACTGGCTTACATTTGGCATGTGTAATGGTGACTTCTTTTCTCAGAGCCATTGTTTCAGTCTCTCTCCATACCCAGATATATAAGCAAGTACTACATCCAGTTTCAATCTTCCCTTCACAACCATTCTGTATAAAAAAAATTACTTTTTAGGTTAATGGGCAGTTCTTGCATGGTCACATCTTAGGCAAATGTATGTTCCTACATCTTTTGCTCTGTGCTCACTTCAGCCATTCATCATTCACTTCCATGGAGACAAAAGGAAAAAATATCTGACAGTACCTGTAATTCTCCATCTACTTTTGTACAAATAATGAACTCTAAGCCTCTGCACCAGGGCATGCTAAGCCTTTAGTGTCAAGAAGGAAGTCTGCTTTCCAGAACACTGCCTGTGTCAGGACAGACAACCAGCACCAAGGCTTACAAAAGCAAGTGGGACTGAAAAAGAGGAATTTTAAAAGATGTTCTGGCAGCCTAGAGCTGCACATAGCAGACATCCCACTGCCATGAGTGATGGCCGACAGCGGCTGCTCTTCCTCCTCTACTTTTATCTGCACATGTATCACACCTGGTCTTGCCTTCTCTTTTTTTTTTTGTTGGCTGCTGACAGGAGCATTAAGTACTTAAAATCAACACCATTTTCAAACATTTATTTTATCCTCAGCCAAACTTTCACATTAATCAATGAATTTGTCCTAACAACATGTCAATTCCTTTATGAAGGATATATATATATATATATATACTTGATGAAAAGATATGTCAGATTCACATGGTTGTTTGGGAGGACAAGAGGTTTGTTTGAAAACTGTGATCCATCTGAGCCTAAGGCACCCAGTAGAAATCAGCTTGAATCAGATCTTACAGTCAGGACACATCTAAGACAAGACATATGCCATCTTTAAAAGCATGTCATGTAGTGTGTTTCAGTTACAGGAGCTGTGGACTAATGTTACCACCGCACAGGCCCATTTATTTAACATGTTTCTCAATGCATTACAGCTTAAACGTTATAAAAAGGTTTTAAAGCCAAATTTATTGAAACACAAAAATGAATACATTTCTAGCTATATATTTAGATCTATTTTCACTACCCTAAATAGAGCCACAACATTCAGTGATGCTGTAAATGTGAGTAACACTACTCACATATTTCCTGAAAATTAGTCGTTTGGCTCTCAAGTTCAATGCAGCTGTTGCCTGTTTAATATTAATGCCCTTTTTCAATATGCTCACTGGATGCGTGAGTTAAATGACCCAATAAAAAATCTCCAAACCTGAGTAAAACCAAATTGTTTAAAATACTCTTATGAAAAGGCTTTTAATCTCGTTCTGCTTGGCCTTCTGTCTTTCATAGACTAAATGTTTGCTAGTTTTCCAGTCACCGTTGAGTCTTTCAAGGAGGACTTTAGTCTGTTTCATTTCTGTAATTAGGCACAAAAACCCTTAATGGTTACTGCCAAGCCACAGTCGTCATCTTCATGTTATTCTTTTTTTAGGCTGTTGTCCTTTTTTTGTAGTAAAGCAAAACTACATTTACAACTGAATTTACAGAAGGGAAGGAAATGGAAGTCACTCAGTTTCAGTGAGTGACCTTGTACACACTAATACACCTATGAGAAACTCTTAACAGGCTGAAAGACTGCAAAAACGCCCTCCTCTTCTCATTCTATTTGAAATTTCACTTTCAGGAAGAAACTGATTGATTCATCTACTTTATTACTTTCTATGAAGAATTGTCTATTCCTTTTTTCACAAGGAGATCAAGAATGGAGTTGGACAATTAGGAGAACCATGTAGTGATCCAAAGTCTTTTAGACCCCAAGACACCACAGACCAGTTCCAACTTGTTTCTGTAGAGACTGTAATAAGTCTTCAGTTTCTACAGAGTATTTTTTAACAGTTTATAACACTTTGAAGAAATGAGAAACTTTGCAGCTGATGTTTTACATTCACCAAAGTATTTCATGCCAGATGTAGGAAGGCTTTCTTCTTCTAATTTACAGACAAATTGAATGAAGAGATAAAAAAAAGTGATTCAAATGAGTTTTAAGGATGTGCATCAGAGAGACTTCAAAATTAAGCCTTAGGTTGAGACATAGAGAAGAAACACTGCTAAATACAGCTTCAGAATATTGTTTATGCCACACAGCTTTTCTGCAGCTTGTACAAAATTTCATACAAATTTAAATCAGGGAGAAAAGAAGGCTATACTCAGTGGCTTCTAGGTGCTTTCTGCTTGTGGTTCTGCATAGCTATTATTTTCCTTCAGAGCTCTTAGACAGAGGCAAAGGACTATTTTATTTTTCTTCTTCAGTATCTGTACTAGACAAGGTAGGGAGCAACCATAACTTCTAGAGTTACTCAAATGCAGAAGTATTCAGATAAATATGTATCCCATACAATGTTTGCCATGATATCCGAAGATACACAAGCACCAAATTCTGACCCCTCTTTCTGTCAACAGAAACTAATAATTTCCAATGCATTCTGCCTGCAGAAATCCTTTACATCTCCATGACTGTTCTTTCTTAAATGCCAGTAAGGAATGAGACATGACTATTTATTTCAGTTCTCTCCTCCATCTTCATTTTTAAGACAAAGAGTTGAGACCCAGGAAAAAAGAGGCTTGCAGGAATGTTGCCAGCTCTCCATGCTCACAGGGATGTTGGGAGAGTCAGCTGTGGGGCTATACACATTTCCATTGTCAACTGCATTTCTTTCTTTTTATTATTGTTTCACTCCATAAATCAAAATCACTTCACATATCTAAGTACTTAGAGAACCTTGGTGTGATATCATGATCTCTTTTCCCTGGTTGCTTTGTCTCTCCGAGTTACAACACAGTGGGAAAATCTCCAGAGGAAGATCTAGAGGAAATACTGAAATGTGGTAATCTTAGACAAAAAGAGGAACCTGGATGTGACTTATGTCAGGCTGCATCAGAACCATTACACCTCATTTCTACTTCCTCTCTTATCATCTGTGGAATGACCACTCCATTTCTCAAAGTTTAGCACACATTTGGAGTATATGCATATTTCCTTCTGCTTTAAAACGTGTTAAGGAATTATGTCTTATCAATTGATACTACTCACACAGCTGCCTTTTACTGCAGATTTTCATTGTGTGTTCCGGATCAAAAGGCTTTTAGAGTTTCTTGGGCACAAAAGGGTTTTATTTCAGTCACCCTCTTTTATACATTCCTTCTCCTCTCCTGAGAGCAGCTTTTTAAGGTCTTCTCATACCTCCCACTTTCTGTGATCTGAACCCATCAGTCTTTTCCTCAATTTTCATCTTAGTTTCACTTTTTTCTCTCCACAGCCTCTTACACACCTGCAGATCCAACGGTAGTTATTCACACAACCCCCTAACTGTATATTTATCCACAATGTTTGGCAGCTCTGGTCAGCTCTGCAGAGTTGTTTTCACTAAATGCTGATCCTTTTCCAATCTATCGTTGTGTTTTTCCAGTCCAGTCACCACCTGGGTTTCTTTCCTACCTGTCCCTAACCAACACTAACATGAGTTTCTTAACAGCCACTAGGTCCATCCAGTTTGATAACATTTTTTAATCTTAAACTATCTCCTACTCTCTCCTTCTCTTCTCCTATAACATAGTTATTGATTTTCCCTGTGCTTTGATCAGGTCTCAAGTCTTTGTAGCTAAATGACTCCACTTCTGCAATTCATTGGACTAAAGCTCCAGACATGTTATTTTCCTTGCCATCTTTTTCCTATTTCCCCTATATTTTTTTCACAGAACCGCTATTCATCCCCCTCAAAAATTAGATTTCAACCTTTCAGGTTCCAGGGCAATATACCTTTCCTTGCTGCAATTCTCCTACAGGTTCACTTACTTTTTTAATTTAATCTCCTCCTCGTTTCCAAGGCTTTATGTCTCTGGTATCATTTCTTTCGCATTTCCCCTAAAATTCTCTAACTCTTCACTTTCATGATAAAAAATATCTCAGGAAAAAAAGAAAAGAAAAGAAAAGAAAAGAAAAGAAAAGAAAAGAAAAGAAAAGAAAAGAAAAGAAAAGAAAAGAAAAGAAAAGAAAAGAAAAGAAAAGAAAAGAAAAGAAAAGAAAAAGAAAAGAAAAAGAAAAGAAAAGAAAAGAAAAGAAAAGAAAAGAAAAACGAAAGGAAAAAGAGAAAGAGAAAGACAAAGAAAAAGAAAAAGAAAAAGAAGAAAATCAACACTCAATTCCACTTTTTTTTTTTTTTTTCCATTATCACCTGTTTCTCTTCTATGTTTATTCTGCACACCACTTCCAATTTCTGTCCATCAACAGATACACATGGTTCTTAGCCAAGTTCTCAACTTCTGCATTCTCAGGCACTACACATCTTCTCAGCCTCTCACATCTTCTCCCAGACTCCATTTCTAATTCCTTGTTTTGACCACATCATTCTTCTAACTTAATTTCTCCACTGCTATCCTGTCTCCATGTCATGAAACATAAATAAAAATAAATACAGTGTCTCTCCTAAACGGTCTATCCTTATCCCATCTATCAAGAGCAAAATAATAGAATCATGGAATCATAAAATGGCTTGAGTTGGAAGGGAGCTTAAATATAATCTAATTCCAACGCCACTGTCATTGTTAGGGTTGCCATCCATTAGATCTGGTTGCCCAGGGTGTTCAAGCATGGTCTTGAACACCTCGAGGGATGGAGGATCATCATCACAAAAAAAATAACGATAATAACGACACACAGATAGATGCTACCAACCAACTCAGCAGACTTGGATGTCTCATATTCGGAAGTTTAAGTAGGAACACCTAAACACATACCTTCACAAACATGTCACTGAAGTTATTGTCCAATTAAAGTAATTTGATCAAATTAGTGGAAAAATTTGCCTTCTTTTCTTTATTAAAGTCTTTCATGTGATGTCATCACTTAAACCAAATAGCACTGGGTTTCATGACTAAGTCCACTGAGTAGTTTATGACTTGCAAATCAAAGTGCTAGTTAATTGGAATAAAGGTGATAAAACTCACATACTTTCTTTAATTTTTATTTGGAATATCACATATTCTTTTTCATTTTCTTTTGCTCTACTGCAGTTTAAAATATGCCGATCACAATTCCTAGATAAGGATCAGAGGCTGCATGACTATGCATCATGGATTTTTCCAATATACTGCTAATCATGGCATGAGCAGAATGAAGAAACAGGTCACTGAGGAACTTTATTTCACAGTACGCAGCTGGGATACAAACTGAATGTCACTTTTTATCTAGCTATTTTATCTTCTTACAACTGCTTTTGAACTTTTAGCACAATACACCATTTTGAATACACAAATGGTTCAATAACCTTTACAGTGTATGTAATGACAACTGACATCAAATTAATTGACTTTTACACAGTACTTTAGATCTATGATGAAGTCATTAGGAAATAATCATGTTCCTGCCTGGGAAGTAATGTGTTATTTTACAGAAGGATGAATCTATTATTTTAATAGTTTCAGGTTGACTTAGTGAATATTATTCTAGCAACTATCATTCTCCATTTTTTTTCTGGCCCACAGGAATATGTTCTGTGCAAATCTTTAAGGTTTCTGCGTGTCCAAAGGACACCATGGAAATTTTTTTGCAGTAGACCATAGACTAACAGACAAAATGTTAGCAGTTGTGTTCTACAAACTGCATATTGTTCTAATTGTTTCATTTTAATTGGTTTTCCAATGAATAGATCTCTAGCTTCTTTTTCAGGTTCAGTTGGTGAGGCCTAAATTAAAAGGAGAAAGAAAGAACAAAAAGCCAACTTATAACTTCTCAGTATATCACTGATTTAATTGTCTGATATATTTACGGTACCCTTTTTTCAAAGAAGAACACACTAAAAGTTTGCAAAGTCAGAGGAGTATACCAAAATTGTAAAGTAAAAAAATATTTTTAAAAAGTCTACATCGAGAGAAATGAAATTAAATTAAGCGAGTGCTGACAGATCAAGAATACTGAGAAGTTCTTAAAGGAAATGTCTACTAAGAATTGGTAGCCTCACTGGAATTTAAACTATAATCTTACCACTGTGGGTTTTAGAAGATAGTCTGAAGCAAAGCAGAAGTAACTGTGTGAGTTGAAAGCAACCTCCCCTAGTTTTGTTTTTTTTTTCCTGCTAATAAACACCTTGCAAATTTTCTATCCTAGTCTCAGTTTCATATTTGTCTGCTATGACCTGCACAGCTTTATAAGAAAGAGAATGTCTTTGCAGCAATTTCATTTGCATATTTCCAAATAATTTGCATACAGCCTTCAGCAAACATTTTTTCTGATTCTTCCTACAGAAGGAAGGTGAGGAGCTTCTGATGTATGCAAGCAGTAATGAGGATAAGGGGATCTGCATTGTCTGGCTGTGAATATTAAGAAAGAAGTTGTCCTGACCATGGTTTTGTCAAGCATGGAAGTCCCTCCTTGAGTTTAGAAGATGCTCGGACTAAGAACCACAGTCATCCTTATTTCTCAGTATGGAGAGAGGCACTTAGGAAGATGAGCAGCAGTACAACCAGGGCAAGGGATTTCAGTGAGGCACACAGACATGGAAGGACACTGCACTCCACAAGACCTCTTTGCTCTGTGCGCTGGGGCAGCACAGTGCCTCAGTGCTAAAACTGGCTGTGGTCTGGGAAGAAATGCAAGCTGGTCATAGTGACACAAACATGGAATATTTGGTGCCTTTTTTAAAGAAGTCAGGAACAGATGTTTCTAGATGCAGTTTGGGTATTTCTCATCTGTGAATCAGCAAAAATCAATCATCCCGAGGCTAAGAGCTGTCACTCCCTCCTACAGCTCCTGAGTCACTTCACTCCCCCAGAGATGGATGCATGAGCAGCAACCACTTTTTGAACTGCACTATGTACACTGATACTCAGCATTTAATTCATAGTGGTTTGTGATTGCCTGGATCCTCTCAGGGTCAGCTGCTAGCCTCATCAGTGCTGATTTCTGAAAATATGTCTTTTGATAATCTGTCTTCTTCCTACCTGTTAGACTATGCTTTTAACTAATAATAGATTCTAGGTTCATATAATTGAATAATCAAAGCATTGCTTGAACTTTTCAGACCTAAAAGAAACCTGCTATGCTTTTTCAATATGACTTTACTAATGCAAAACTGACTGCTCGACAGATCAGGTTTTTTTCTCAAATTGTACAGAAGCATTGTGCTTCTGGAATGACACTTCAGCCTGATTTTGCTAAATAGGTCAATAACACCTTGAGATTAATTGGTTTAAAGTGCCAGCACAGGCACCCCTAACCTCTCTTTCTTAAAACAGGTGATCCTACTGTTGCTAAGTTTGCCTTTAATGCTTCATATGCTTCTTTCTTTTGATGAGCAGTGTTTATCTAGAAATGATTGGAAATTTGCTACCTGTGTTAGAGTGGTAGTGTTTAAATATCAACCACTTGATTTTATTGTTGATTTGGTTAGGTTGTTTTTTTTTCTGTTCTACTTCTAGCTTCCAGAGAATATGTAATTTTAGGAAAAGGAGTTTGTGTTCAAACATGAAAAATGTCAATTTGCATCAACAGAAGTTACCTAAGTCCTCCTACTTTCAGTGCAGCAACAGGGAAGCGTGGCTGCAGAGCTGCTGTGGGACTGTGCCAACCACCATAGGACAAGGCTGCATAGCAGGAGGAGGAGGGAAGAGAGGGAGAGAGGCCTCAGAGAACCCCTGGGGGCTCTGGCATGGGGACATGTAGTGTAGGAGGATGTGGTCATCAGCCTTTTGCAAAAAGCAGGAAAGTAATGCTGCAGGCACCACAGAGTGCAGCAGTAATCAGATGCTAATTCAAAATGAGGCACTTCTAATTCTCCTTAAGGGCATTTCCACTTCAGACAAGGTAGTTCACCTGACCTTTTCCCTGGCAGAGATGTAAGAAGGTCTGAAAACAAACACTGGGAGCACAGCTTCATTCAGCTCTTGGAAAGCCTGCTTAATATTCTGAAAAGTCACCCTAATCCTGTCAGTATTAACAGCAGGGAGATGGCAAACCAGCTCTTTCAGATACAGCAGAAGCAGTGTTAGAATGCACTGAATAATTCCACTTTGACCTAAAATTCTGGTTTGTTACATGCTAGTTATTTTTAGGCAGGCATTTCTATGACAGTGATGCTTTCATCCAGAATAATGTGGCCCTCAGTCTGTGTTACTCCCTGAGCTGAAGCCAGCCCCACCTGCTCATGCAAGCAGAGATGCTGTATGCAAATAATTTGGCTGGAGCTGCTCCTGCCTCTCCTGAACACTTCACAGCCACTGTATCAGTCTGTGGGAGATGCTGTGCCCTGAGAGCACAGGTGCAAAGTGGCTGCACAGCAGCTGGCAGAGGCACACAGTGTCTTTTCTTAGCTTCACAAAAGGCACTTAGTGAAGTTTGTGGCAAGTCACTAGCTCCACCAATAAGCAACAGGCCTTTCATATCTGGATATTGGCTTAAAATCTTTAGGCAGTCCATCACTCAAGCACAGTGATCTCCCTAAGTTAGTGATTATCCCTCCCCAAGGAGGACAAGGTGTCCTCTCCCCTGTCCACACTAGAACAAACATTTTACAGCAATTCTGATAAGCATGGTGGCAAAACGTTTAGTCCCTTTACCACTTTGTCCCCAAGCCCAGACTAACTTCTAGTGGCACTCTCTGATGGTCCTGTCTCTGAGAGAAAGCCATGGTAGGAAGAGGCTCAGGGAAGGAAAGGCCCTGACTAGCAGCCCCTGCTCTGGCTGTGGATGGTCCGTAGAGTAGAAATGAGCCAGACCTCAGAGTGCCCTCATCTTACCCCAAGCCTGACCCTAGCAGCTTCCCTGGCTCTGAAGCTCCAGCAGCATGCCCAGCTGCTGCAGAACTTCATGTATTCAAGTTTTAGGTGCTTAGCTTTTTCTCTTCTTCTGAACACACCAATCGGAGCGTGAAATGCTTGCTTTCACATTCAGCACAAAGCTCAGCCTGCACTTTATATCCCATTTCCTTTCCCCGGCCATCACGTCCTGGCACAAGACCAGCAAGCAAGCAGAGCTGGCACAAGGGATAAGCCCGAACACAAACCTGTGACACAAACCTCCCTTTCCCTCTTTTCTCCTCCCTGAGGATTGTGCTGCTCACACTGCACACCCAGCCTTCCAGGAAGCTCCCAGGCCTGTCTGGTGGCCCTGTGGTGATATCCTAGGACTCCTAGGGGCACAGTTGCACTATATATCAACAATAAAACTTCTAAATGCTAAGAGTCATGTTACCAGCAGTGACTAACATGTTCCGTAAAAAATACCGGTGGAAGCTGCTAGAATATGCTGAAGGTAGTTATAAACTGCCCTTCTGAGATTAGCTTCTTGGCAGTTGGTCAAAACCTATTTACTGAAATCTTTGTTACTTCCTTTTGCATTCTCAAGTGGCCTCAGTCACTCAGTTCTACTGCTGGGAAGTACCATGAGGCCAGACTATATGCTGTCCTTTCAAACCGCACTCGTCAGCTGCTGGGACCCCACCAACATTATGATAAGCCTGTGTCCAGAAATGATGTGCCCCTGGCTAAAAATTGATTATTTAACAGAGCTACTAAAATAATTGGGATCTCTCTCTTTAAGCGTTTGACCCTGAGGCAGAAGAGGGGAGGGAGTGAGGGAGAAGGAGAGAGAAGATGGTAATCGCTTTAGATAACAACCTGAGTCATGGTAATAGCAGCCTAATTGCTATCCAAGGGCTTTTAGCAGGAAACAGGCACACCTAGAGAGGCACTCATGCAGAGAAATATTAGTTTTAAATGGAAGGACAACAGACATCGTAATGAACTTTCATCTGAGCACAACGGAAAGTAAGAAATATTTGTTTGCTTATGCAAAAATCACCTTACGTCCAAGAGCTTCTTGCTGCTGTGGATGGTGTATAATTCATGTGAGAAACAGATACGTGCCAGGGCTCAAAGTGAAATGGGGATTAATTCTTAGGCAGAAGAAAAGAAAATAGTCATGTTTGGGGAGGAAGTGGTTGAATGCTCTCTCTCCAGAATAAATCAGTTTCCACAATGATTTTTACCGTTCCATGAATAAAATTCACAAATATCAGTTCACAAACATGAAGTAGGACCTTTATGTGAAAGCAAGTGTGATCATACTAAACAATTTGCTTAGGAAAAAGCTCGTATGAATGGGATGATTTGCCATTGATCGATCAATCCCATGTAAATATCCAACGTGCCCTCTGAATGCAGCAGCACTACTGTCTTTCTTACACCAAAGATCTGTCTGCACTGCTTTGAAGTGTACGGCAGAAGTAGCTCTTTCCTCATAATACCCAGCTCTAAATCTGACTGCAGCACTGTGAAACAGCAGCTTAAGGGTCAGCCCAGTAAATGAGACCACGTTTCCACAACGGTCTGTGGGCAAGCCGCTCGGCCCCTGTTCCCCAGGTGCTGTTACTATTTCCTAAATCCGTTCTCAGAATGGAGGCTGTGGCAAACAGATGTTTCCTGTAGCTCTCAGTCACAGCCCTGCTAGTTAGAAGCATCAACACCTTCTGAGTCATAGATGATAAAATGCCACTTTGTTCAAACAGTATGTGCTGTATGCAGTGAGTCAAGTTGAGCCTGAGAATCAAGTATGGCCTCTGAGGTGTCAGGTGTATATGTGTAACTACACATTACTTTGGACGTTTCCCTTCCAAATATCACTTTCCTATTTGTAACTTGCATTTGATCGATTTCCAGAAATATTGTAAACCAAGAATTATCCATCTTGTATTGCTGAATAATAGTATTGGGGTAGGCTGCTATGGCAACAGACATATGATCTCCAGATTCACACATGAAATGATCATATGGTAACAGCTTTTCAGATACCCCTTCACTGTACAAGCAAGAAAGTATACGAAGCTATCCCAGTAACCTTGGGAAGAGAGCAGTTATGAAATAAACTGAGATTTTTACTACACTACATTGTTTTGAAATACACATAAATGCATGCTTCACATTTAAAAGGAAAAGACACAAAACAACAGAGTTGAATCACTGACATAAAAACATCTGATGAATATTTATTATAAATTAGTATTTACATTATACTTACATTTGGAAATTCAGCCAATCATGGATTGGCATTGCCAGTGTGTTTACATATCAAATCAGGTAACCATCCTTGTCCATGAGGCAGCAAATTACTATTTTCTTCTTCTTAAGAGCTGAAGTTTTACAGAAAAGGACCTTTCTATTAGAAATATATTAGGTTCAGCTGACCTTGACCAAAGGTCAAAGGAATTGTTCACACTAATCACTGAGGCTTTGACTTAGCCTTTATTTTTCAATTTGGAATCTCCTAAAAAGAGGCGAAGATGAAGTAGAATTCATTTTGTTATCACCACTATCCCATGTGGCCACTCCACAAATGCAGGCCTGTAGGCTGTTGACCAATATGGTATCTGTCTGGCATAGGTCACCAGCATCCACCATAGAAGTTCAGTTCATACAGTGCAGCTACACATGCATGCTCCCACTGATGATGTCTGTCTGGAAAGAGTTTTTGCTTGCAGAAATGTTTTAATAGGAAGACACCAATAGAATAATTAGAATTAGTATAGAATAAACTCTGAAGTGTCTATCATTTGATAACATTAGGAACAAATGATTTATAAAAACACATGAAGGGGTGACGTAAGTGAAGCTGTTTGGGGCAGGAGGTGGGCCAGACTAAATTCTCTGTTTCTGTGGCTGTGCAATCCCCGTGCTTTCAGTGTTGTAAGTGATAGCTTCTTGCAGGCCCTCAGGTAGTAGGGCAGATTTCAGAGAAGGAAGGTTGAAATGAGATGTCAGGTAAGGGGGAATAAGGAGAACACCTGGAAGAGTGTCATACATTCCTAGTCATTTTTCTACCAAAATATATTTAATATCTATGGCTCATTGAAATAAGTCTTTGGGAATACTTTTTTTTTTTTTTTTTAACTATATACCATCTGGCACGTGGTAGAAGGACATCTGTACAGTACAGATATCTTTACTTAATATGTGCTGGAAGGTTTAACTGGTAGACAGAAAATAAATTTTTATGAAGCAGAAAGATGCCTTAAAAGAAAGAAACTAAAAATTGAGTTTTCAGAATGTAAGAGCTTTCTAGCTGCAGACATTCTAATACTATGCATTAGTGTTGCTATACTGGGAAATATGCAGACTGGGTGTGCTAATTTCTGAGAATATTTGTTCACTGGCTATTTGCAAGAAGCGGCTGATGACAATGTCCTTGGCCTTGGTGGTCTCCATTTTCCTCTCTCGTGATATCTGTGTGCTGATTTGGTCTACATTAGTCATGATGAGCTCTGAGGCCAGGATCTGTGTGGGGGATGCCCTGTTGGCTGTGCTGTCCATGATGTACTGCTTGTACAGCTCCATCAGCTTCTGCTCCAGGTAGTCGTTGAGGGCTGAGTCAGAGAGGGGCTGCTGGTGCGGCACCAAGCTTGTCACACGCCAGCATGATGAGAAGCCTTGAGCCTGCTTGCGGCCTGTCTCGCTGGGAGGGACCCGCATGGACTCCATAGGTGGAGGAATCTCTGAGGACTCCAGGAAGGGGCCTATGCCACTGTCACAGGTAAAATCGGTTGCCACTGAGCTAATAGGCACCACGCAGTCCCCAGCTATGTGCAAATCATTGTAGTTCTTGCAAATGCTTTTGCAGGAGGATGGAACCAGGTAGGTGTCTCTTCTTGCCAGCCCTTCACAGACATCCATAGCTGGAGAAGCCTGCCCTTCAGGCAGTGAGTGCTGCATGGGCTGTTGGAGTTTGTCTTTCTGCCTTCTGCTATGTTTGCTACCTCTGGAGTGAATTGAAGAAATGCATTTGCCAGCAGATCTGCATCTCTGAAGGAGGCTTTTTCCTTGTGCTTCATCCCTGGAGGAACAATTAATGGCCCTCATTTCATACACCATTTCCTCCACTGCTTGGCTGTTGCAGAGCTCAGAGTCTTCACAGAGGTAGGCAATTCTGTAAAGGTAACCTTCTGACAGCATCCTTCAAGAAAGCAAAGGAACCACCAGCAGACAGAAAAATGACAAGAAATCATTAGTTTATTACCAAGTCATTGAGTGGTAACTATACTCACAGTTCTGTTACTAGCTACAGAGATATCTTTCCAATTTGGGCATTAACAAGCATCTTTCTTTCTGAGAGATGTAGTGAAATAATCGATTTGTTTCCCTATTGTGATGTTAACTCCATCACGTCTAAGTATATTCTGTGTAACATAGCATGTGGTATAGAATCATAGAATCACAAGGTTGGAAAGGACCTGCAGGATCATCTAGTACAACTGTCCTCTCATCACCTTGCTACCACAGGCTACTAAACCACATCTTGTAGCTCCTCATCCAGGCGCCTCTTCAACACTGCCAGGGACGGTGACTCCACCTCCTCCCTGGGCAGCCATTCCAGTGCCTGACCACCCTCTGAGAGAAAAAGTTCTTCCTCATGATTAATCTAAACCTTCTCTGGCACAACTTGTGGCCATTTCCTCAGGGGCTGTTGCTGCCTGGGAGAAAAGACCAAACTCCTCCTCATCACAGCCTCCCTTCAGGAAGTTGTACAGTGCAATGAGGTCTCCTCTGAGCCTCCTCTTCTCCAGACTGAACAATCCCAGCTCCCTCAGCTGCTCCTCATAAGACTTGTGCTCCAGACTCCTCACCAGTTTTATTGCCATTCTTTGGACACATTCCAGAGCCTCAGTGTCTTTCTTTGAGGGGCCTGTATGAATAATCCATCCAAAGACAAGTGAGTTCGGAAGAGAGGAACAGCAAGTGGTTTGTTGCAGTAATAACTGCTGTAATAGTTCACGCTTAAATATGCATATTTTTGCTTGTGATTTCAGTTCAGAAGCCAAGGGTTTTCCCCACCTTTTCCAAATACTTTGAAGCAACTTCTACTGTTTTTGGTTTGTCATCTCTTTCTGAACTAAGTTAATTTTAGATTCATATTTAGGGTGTAACTCTGTCTTTTCTATACTGATCAATGACTGCAAGTGTGGTTCCCCTTTCACAAAAAATTCTCAGATTGTGAAATTAGCATTTACTACTTTTGCATGAGCAACCTGTATAGGCTTGAGCAGTGGGCCCAAGAGAACATCAGGAGGTTCAACAAAGCCAAATAATGTAAGGTCTTGCACCTGGGTTGTGGCAACTTCCACTGTCAGTACAAGCTGGGGGATGAAAGGATGGAGCACAGACCTGTCAGAAAGGACCTGGGGGTCCTGATGGATGGCAAGTTGGACCAGTAGTTTGTCCTCACAGCTCAGAAAGCCAACTGCATTCTAGGCTGCATCAAAAGAAGCAGGTCAGGGAGGTGATCCTGCCCCTCTACTCTGCACTGGTGAGGCTTCACATGGAGTACTGCGTCCTGATGTGGAGTCCTCAGTACCTGAGAGACATGAACCTGTTAGAGTGCACCCAGAGCAGGGCCACAAAAATGATCCAAGGGATGGAACAACTCTTGTATGATGGAACAACAGGCTGAGAGAGCTGGGGCTGTTCACCCCAGAGATGAGAAGGGGAAGGGAAGGGAAGACCTGACAGTGGCCTTTCATTATGTGACGGGGGGATATAAAAAGGAAGGGGAGAGACTATTTATGAGGGTCTGTGGTGATAGACAAGGGGAATAATTTTGAACTAAAAAAGGAAAGATTTAGACTGGATATAAGGAAAAAGTCTGTTGTTTTTTTTTTTTTTACAGTGAAGGTGGTGAGACATGGAAACAGGTTGCTCAGAGAGGTAGTGGATGCCCCATCCCTGGAGACATTCAAGGCCAGGCTGGAGGCAGCTCTGAACAATCTGATGTAGCTGTGGGTGTCCCTGTTCACTGCAGGAGATTTGAACTAGATGACCTTTATTGATCCCTTCCAACACAAACAATTTCGTGATTCCATGATAAGCTGGATATAATTGTCTGTAGTTTTTAGACATCAAAATGTCAGTGGCATGAGCAAGGCTTTTCATAGGCATGCATTCATAAGCTCTGAAATCATCTTTTTGGTTCTAGCAGCCACTGATCCTCTCCTGGTAGCTCAGTTTCAAAATCTGTGTAGATGTCAATGACAAGTAAGACTCACTAGCAGGAACAGAAATGTCTCTGCATGTCACCAAATGCTCTGCCCAAGTCTAAGCAGTTCCACTGCCATATAATTGTTTTTAAGTCCACCTTTGTGTCTTTTATTTAAACAGATGTCAATGAAATGATTCATAGGAAAGATGTCATAAAGAAATTGTGTGATCCAGCAAAGAGAACATAAATCTTAGTTACATAGATAGATTTTTCCTTAGTACAAAGTATCTTGTGATAGAGAAGCAAACAGATTGTCTTTGTGTAAACAGTGATTACTTCTTTCACTTACTGTTTAATCCATTCATATCATTTTAATCCTTATGGGTATTGTCTGTGCAGCATTTGAGCGTATGTCCCAGTTATTTCTCAAAGCACCTGCTGTGAAGGAGCACTATGCCTCACACTGTAAGTGGGGAGGTGGGATCTCTCTGGCACATGCTGTACTACTCCATGCTGTTGTTGACTGTTAGATTCTTCATTTACAAGATTGAAAAAGAAAATTTTGTAAAATTTTCATTTCTTAGTCAGACTTTACTTGTGCTACAGTTGCTAGTGCCAAATGCTGTAGTAGTAATAAATGTTGGCTAAATCCTGACTATAGACTTTATGCAGATGTTAGCAAGAAAACAGCTTGATACTTTCCCCAGAAGGGAAATAAATCATTTCCACATTAAGAAGAAGGCAGCTGGAAGAAAAGTAAACTTCCCTCAGAAGGAAATATTTGTGAAAATTAAATGTATCCAAACACTTTGTTGACCCTGGAGCCCCTCTGCTGCTGCAAGTCATGTGGGATTTCGCACCAACAGGTAGCATTTAGTGAAATATAGTCTATTTACACGAGAGGCAAAAAAACAACATACTTATTTGGGGCCTGGCATTCCTTACGGTACCTTGCTGTTGCCTGGCTTTAGATTTTAGCTGTGGATGAAGTACCACAACAGAGATCTTACCCAATTGCTTGAACTGCTCAGCTTGTAAGCCCACCTCTCTCTCCTCCTTCTCCTTGTGCAGTGCAAAAGCTGCTTCCTTCCCTTGCTCACCCTGGGCCAGAGAGATTTAGTGTCAAATTATCACTAACTTAGGCAGTCTTGAACATGAAATTGCTATGCAGTTATTCCCACACATACTTTTAATGTTGATTCTGAGAAATGAGTGAAAATGTAACACATGGCCTATTCACTTTTTAACCAAAATGCACAAAGCCACATGTGCTAGGTAGCATGTGACATGTCTGTCTTTCCTACTGCCCAGATGTATCTTGTTTCTGTCATAAGGTGATGTATTAAGGAAATGAAACTGCTGGTTTCATTTCTTCATGCTGCCTTCTGCAGTACTTGTTTTCAGAGGTTTAGAGCACACAGTCTGAGACTGGAATAATAGCAAATTCAAAAACATTAGGCTCCCATCTTGCTTAGGATTTATATACTTGGCTCTTGGAGTTACAGGACTACCCTTGGAAGGTTGCAGGGGCTGTGGCACTCATCTGACAGCACTCACAGAACTGCTAGGAAATCTAATTGATATTTTGATAGGCAGTGTTCAGAGCTCAGTGTTCAGAGCTGGAATGCTAAGTGAGCTACGTGTGTCTCTCTGATCCTAATAATATATAGCCATGTCACATTATTCCATCACTGCTGATGGCTGGGCACTCAGCTGGGTCACCCTTAATTCCTGTACTTTATATGAGACAGGGATGACAGTTCTCATTAATTCTGCTTTCTTGTGTCCCTTCTCTTAATCCCCCTTTTGTACTGTACACACGTATATGCACTAAGATTCTAAGTGCATCGGAGCTGTATCTACTGCCTTTCAATATTTTGAGTTTCATGGTCCTTAAATTTGACATTCGCTTCTCTTGTCCTGAAAATAACTGTGTGACTTTTGTTACACAAGGAAAAACAGTCCTGTTTACAATATTGATCTGATGCACTTTGCATATGATTTGAACAAGCAGATATTTCCATGTGCAGACACTGCATCAGCAGTGGGAGCTATCTGCATCTTACCTAAGCACAGATTGCAGTGAAAGCACAGGGAGAAGGCTGTCTGACTTACAGTGTTTGCTATGGTATCATAGCCCTTATCACTCTCAGAAGCTCTTGAAAAGTCATATTGTCTTCCCTGGGGCTTTTGTTCAGTTCTTCAGAGGAATAAAAGCCTGAAGGCAGGATGAATGTTTGAAGCTATGTGGAGAATACAGTGATATTGCTACTATTTTCTAAGTGGCAGCAAATTTGCTGGAATATAATGCTTGGAGATGGTGCCACTGTTTGCTTGAAGACCTCATATTAGAGTCTGAAAGCAAGCACATAGAATGGGAGTTCTTGGCTCGGGACAAGCAAAAAGCTTAAGGAAAGCCTGAGAGGTGTACGCAAAGTTATGTGATGAATGGTGACCTATATAAAAACCCTGAGCATGATCAGAAGTTGCTAGGGAGAATGGAAAGAGCATGGTGCCAGCTGGGATCACAGATCATAGGGAAAAGTACATTCTTTTGCAACACAAAAGGAGGAAATTGTAAGCTCACAGAAGAGACAAGCCTGTTTTGAAATGGAGTATGTCTGGCTTTCAGCCCTCTGAATGAGACTCTGAACTGTACTGAAGTTGTGTTGTTCAGTTCAAGTTATAGCACAGTGTAGCTTTAAGCATTGCTTAGTTAAGCTGTCAGTATTGCTTAAGTAACTTCTCTCTGACTTACTAGACTGGACTGTAATTAAAGTGTCTGTCTCAAGGGAACCCAAACCCTGTGGATCCATCGTTGGTACATTTTTTCTCAATCTTAACAGACACTTGTATAGACTAGGGAGAAACCAATTCCTTCACAGGGGTTTGAGATTCACCTCAAACTTCAGCACACGGATGCAAGAGTTCCCCTGGCAAGCAGGTTAGGCTGGAACAGAGAGCCTGCATATGCTGCAGGACTCAAAGGTCACCTTCTACCAGCTCCTGGGAAGCCAGCATAAGGAAATCAAGTCAGTGAAGAAGGTAGTGAAATTAGCTGTTCATATGGATAAGTGTAGCCTTTTTTTAATGCACAAAACCCAAGGATTTTTAGTGTCCGAACCCTATTTCATGAAGATTATGTCTAGTGCCCAGAGCTGGCTTGGGTAAAAAATGGGGGCTGTTTTTTGAGGCTGGAGTTGTCCTACTTTGCCCACAGTAGAAGAGGGAGTTTCTACACAAGCATTGGAATGCTACCCATTGTGCATGTATCTTCCTCTCCCTGCTGCTACAGAAGATGTGGAACCTACAGGGCTGCCCCATAGGGTTCTGGCAGCAACAGTAGCAGTTATGAGCTAAGCCTCTCAGGCTCCCTCCCCACAGCTCTCTAGCTCCAGTCCTTTTGTCTTCTCTCAAAAGAAAATTTGAGCCAAGCCCATCTTTACTCACAACTCCATAGTTCAAGAGATGCAGGAAAGCTTGGAGAGCCTCTCCTGCAAGGGATGTATGGGAATGTTGTGGGGAGCAAAGTTTGAGAGGATTATAATCCTGTATATTACTTTCCCAGAGACGCAATATGCTTTATATGTTTATTGTAATGTTGCATGTTCTTGTTTGACCAATGTCTACCCACTGACCTCCAAGAGCAGCTGGCTTCTCTCATTTAAAAATAATCTTTTAATATTTGTTTGATGTTTTGTGTGGAGTTTTGTGGGGCAGGCTTCCATCAAAATACAGCAAAAACTCTGAGGTAAACAGAGCTTCTTGAGCTCTTAGATCACTTCCCATCTAATTCTGTTTTATTAGCTGAAGTTCCTTGAAGCCTTGTTCAAGGCAAGCCTAATTCATCACTTTTCACTCTTCCCTTCCTTAATCATCTATACCTACACAGAGATATTTAGGACACTGTCTATTTTATTTGATAGCATTTCACATCTAATACAAAAAGCTGTAAGCATTAATTCAAAATGAAGCAGGAACAGATCAAGCTCCATATTCATAAGGGCAACTTGACTATAGTGCAGATCTACACTGAGATTTTCTTCAAGGGAGAAGTCATGTCATGTTTCTAGATTTCTGTTTTTATTTTAATGAGTTGTCGGCTGTTGCTATGACTGAACTATTTGGACTGACATGTTTTGTATCTAAGCAGTTGAAGTACAAGGGACGGATAGAGAAGGGAACACACTTTCTGGAACAGAAGAGAATGAACAGTAAAGCTAGATAGAAAATGCTAGATAGAAAATACTGAAGGATCTTGCCTGGAAGAAGAGGGAGGAAACAGTGCATTAACAAGCCTTGAAACATTAATCTCATCTGCTGTAGAATGTAAAAAAAGGAGTGCAAAATGTGCATATTGTGTGTGTACATACATGTCATGCTGTGGATTTGTACTGAACCAGAATATTGGCTGTAAATCAGGAAAATACAAGGACAAAATGTCTTTATTTTGGGTGGTTTTTTTTTTTGTTTGTTTGTTTGTTTGTTTTCCCCAAAAGGTCTCAACATTTTTCTGTGAACATATTTTAATACAAATCCCATTTTATCTGTTATGGTGCCTATTTCTATTTCTAGTCTACAAATAGTGTACTCCACTTCTAAGATTATTTGGACAGCATGCTACCATGTAAAGAAAGACCAAGAAAAATACCATAATTATAACAAAAACAATACATCTGATAAGACTCCCTTTAAAAGTATTCTGAAGTACGTTATTTCAGTATGACTTTATGAGTCTTTAGAAAGATTGGAAGATCAATCCATATATTTTTTACATTCACAGACACAGTCAGTCATGGATCTGAAGATAGACAGCACTTCTGAAATGCTCTTATTGTTTCCTAAGGCAGCAGAAATTGCGTGTGGATGGTGGCTGGGGCTTTGCAAACACACACATGCACTAAGAACAGATAGGAAAAGCATACCTTCATTTTACCAGCTACCAGATGTGATACCATACAAACAAAACCAAGCCACCTTGGTAAGCAAGAGCAATTATTTCAGATCTTTATGTACAGATGGTATGCTATGGTACTTACCTCTGAAGATCAGCAGCAGAGCAGTACAGAGTACTGGTTGTCTTGCAGTCAGTTTAAAGCTTTCTATCCTACCCTAAAACACAACCTTCTGTTTTTATTTCCTTTTCAAATGCACTTCTAAGATGACGTGTTTTACTTCTAATCCTCTATAGCAGAAGTATAGAAAGAAAGTCCCTTAGGAGATGAGGGGTTTTTATAACTGACCGAACTTCAATACGCTTGACTTGCTTCCTCTTTTATGTCTAAATGAAACTTTGTTATGAAACTGTGTATAAATAGCTGATTGCAACACATTCAGTCCATGCAACCAGACTTCTTATTAACTGTTATATAAAACAAGCAAACAAACAAAACCAACAAAGCCCTAGTGAACTGAACAATGCTAGCAAAAGTATTCATATTTTGGAGATATTTGGCACACCCAATTTTAACCATTATTTATCATTTTATTTTTAACAGACACATCGAGACATCTAGTTCAAGAATGTCATACCAAATACACCTGTCAAAGCAGAAATGCACTACACAGCAGCTCTATTTTATTGTCTTCAGATCTCTGACGTCTCAGCTTCCACAAAACAGCACAGCTTAGCTGGTTAGTGAGGCTTTGCTTTTGGAGTATCTGCAAACCCTGTCTTGAGGAAGGTTAGACCCAGCATGCGCTCAGTACCTCAGGGCCTGCAGTTAGATCCAGGCAGACAGCATCTCTTAGCAAGGGCAGAGTGTTAAAATTCATTGGACAAGTGGAGTTCACTCTCTGAGCTTTAGATGCATGAAAGACAACCAGGTTTTGTGAATGGTACTGGAGTATTCCTGAAGGGTCAGAGGACATTTACTGTTTGAAGGATGTAATGGCAAGTCCACTGCAGCAGGAATGTATTCCCATCCTCAAAAAAGAGAAATGCTTTAAGTGAGCTGCTCCACCAAAGAAGCTTAGTATAAATCTCTGCTTAGCCTGGGCCTGCTTTGTCAAATAGTTCAGAGGCAGCTAACAGCCTGCCAGCTGTAGGTGAAATGTCTGTTCAAGAAATTATAAATGGGGAGTGTTTGAGAGGACCCTTATTCCATTGCCTTTTCTTAAAATCAGTAGTATGAATAAGTGCAGAAAATAAATCAATTTTCCTGTTAGTGTATCCAGGCAGGTATGTATGCACCAAGTGCATGCTCTTTTCTCCACTCTTTTACACAGATTAGAAGACTGCTCTTATCACAGTTCAGAGGTCTTTCCCTCTTTCCTTTCCATCTCAACATGTCTTCATTCCTATTTTTTTTTTTTAACCTTGAGTGGTCAAATTGTTTTACCTATATTTTTTTTCCAGAAGTTATAAATACCACTGCATGAGTGCATTCCAAATGAAGTACGTTAGCGTACAAGTGATCCAACCGCAGCAGACAGTATGTTGTGGTTTCCTTGAACAACTATGCACAGGCACACAAGTATATAAGCCCTGTTATTTAATCTGTAGTGTATGATTCACAAGTGGCTTGTAAAGTGTCAAAGGGCAATGTTCAGGGTTGGATGGCCTCTTCTTATTGACAATGCCTGTGAAAAAGTCAGAGACTTTTTTTTCTTTTTTGAAAGATAATTCAGATATAGACAATTGTGAACAAAAACAAACGACAACAAAAATCTAAATGTCATCAGCTTTATTTACACCTCTGGCTTCAAAAGAGGATAAAAAGCAATCCACAATGTATAGACAGATTGATAGACAGATACTGACTGAGACTGAAGTACACAGTAAATACTGTCAAACATTGGAGCATTTCAGTCAGCAGCAGAGAGCAGCTTGAAACTGCATTGTGCTGTTCAGAAAGCAAACTGTACCTGTTCTTTGAGCAATGGAGCTTATTATTTCCCATCTCAGCAGCCAACTTGACTAAATGGACTATCAGCAGCTATACCTGTTGTGCTTGCACCTTGCAGAGTCCTCCGTGATCATTTTTTAAGCTTTCTAGGATTCAAAGACATCAGTCAGTTCTGGTCTTTCCATAGAATTTGTGTTGTGGTTGGACTAGTCCATTTTTTAAAAAGTCAGTTTGCACAGAAGAAATTCAGCAGTGCCTTTTATTTTCCTTCATTTTTCCCCAAGATACATTCTTTCTTTGTAAGTCCTTAGAGTTTCAAATTACCCAAGTAAAAGGTCAAGATTTGCAGGTTCTCTTTCTTCAGTTTTGTTTAATGCTTTGCATGCTCTGAAAACTTCTTTAAATGCTCAAAACCATCTAAATATTTCTGGAAACAAGGTGAAAAATATACCTTCATTATCATTCTTTGTTTGTAAATCTCAGTGCATGTAGCAAATGTACTTCTGGCTGTAAATAAATTAAGCAGCTGTTCCAGATCACTACACTTAAATGCTACTGCAGAATAAAAAAAGCTTAGGTCTGTATCTCAATTCCATAATGACAGATAATTTCCTACTGCAGGAACGCCAGCTTCTTGGAACACAGTGTATTACAATGCATTCTTTGTTTCACACGTCCAAAATGGTTACTCCTATCTGCTCACTTAATTAAGCAGTTATACCCTATGTATCAGAAAGGCATCAGAATTAGATCCCTGGTAAGACATATCAGGAACCTCTTTGTCTGCTTGGGATGTATTTCCACTTTTTATTCAATATATGATGTTTATTTTGTACAGTGCAGTGTCTGAAGTGGAGACTCCTGCAGCCAACAACACAGTCCTAGAAGAGGATGCTGACATTGTTTTGCCAATGTTACCAGAGCAGGGTGCAGCCTGCCATTCTCTCTTCCCCTTGGCTTTCTTCTCCCAAGAACCTTTTTCTGACTTTTTGCCTTTGGGTGAGCTCTTCATTCCCTTCTCAGCAGGTCTCCAAATTTAATAAGCTTAACCTTCAGCAATTCCCAGCTGCAGAGAGAAGCAGCTTGTTTCATCTGCTGTGCCTTGAGGACAAAGAATATCATTCCTCTCCACAGGACCAGCTCACTGCAGTATCAGCAGGGAGCTGCTGATTTCTTTATGGCTTTCCACTGATCAGATTTCTTCTGTGTCTGGATGGACTCTTTCATAAACCAAGATTAGGTGTGTAATTCCAAAATAAGAATTAGTTAATTGTAAAACTTCCATGCTATATCCAATGGCAATAGAAACAGGCTGTAACACTGCCTACCTGTACAAGAGCCTACCACATGATACACATTCTAATTTTGTATTGATTCTTTTAGCTTTATTGAGTTTTTAGGTTTAACAAACTAAATCACATCTTGTGCTGCTAAACTACTTCTTGGTTTACTGACTGTTAATCACTGGTGGTGAGGCTTCAAGATATCAGAGAAAAAGTTTTAATCTAGCAAACAGGATTGTGCAATAGATAGTCTTTTCCCCTCTTTTTGTAGTTTTTTTAGAATATGCCAAAATAACACAATAAATTTGAAACCACTCGGGCTACTAAGAGGTTTTTTGATACTGTAACAAAGTTCCATAAAAAACTGCAGAAATCCGAGGTATTACAGAAGTCTGGTTATTTTAGTTGTATTGGCACATGTCTGTACTTTCCAGGGAGAGCCACCCAGTGGCAGCTGGCTGTATTTATTGTGTATTTTTCTCACGCACTGACTTTTATTTTCACAGATTACCACATCCCTAACTTCTTGCTTTTACATCTTTTCAGCAGCCAAGAAAATACATTTTTTCAGCTCAGATTCCCAAGTAGTAAAATTACATTAAAAATGGTGTCTGAATTGAGGTGCTGTCTTCACAAGGCTTACGAAAGTGAAGTTCTTTACTACGAGAGTGGTGAGGTGCTGGAACAGGCTGTCTAAAGAGGTTGTGGATGCCCCATCCCTAGAGGTGTTCAAGACCAGGTTGGATGGGGCCCTGGGCAGCCTAGTCTAGTATTAAATGGGGAGATTGGTGGCCCTGCATATGGCAGGGGGGTTGGAGCTTCATGATTCTTCCAACTCAGGCCATTCTGTGATCAGAGATGACTGGGGAAGTAGGGAATCTGCAACAGAACAAAAAGGAAAAGGAAAAGGAAAAGGAAAAGGGAAAGGGAAAGGGAAAGGAAAAGGAAAAGGAAAAGGGAAAGGGAAAGGGAAAGGGAAAGGGAAAGGGAAAGGGAAAGGGAAAGGAAAAGGAAAAGGAAAAGGAAAAGGAAAAGGAAAAGGAAAAGGAAAAGGAAAAGGAAAAGGAAAAGGAAAAGGAAAAGGAAAAGGAAAAGGAAAAGGAAAAGGAAAAGGAAAAGGAAAAGGAAAAAGAAAAGAAAAAGAAAAAGAAAAAGAAAAAGAAAAAGAAAAAGAAAAAGAAAAAGAAAAATCAATCATATATGCATAATAAACCAAGGAAACTTTTTCAGGTGAAAAATAAAAGAGAGTTTGCAAGGAAAGGTGATAGCAGGATAGCAGTAGAGTTTTAAACTGCATAAATATGAGGAAAGCAATGAAAGAAAAAAGTGGATCCAGGGTGATTTCTGAAAACAACAAATACACTTGCTATGAAGTAGGACTCAGTACATTACTGAAAAGTGTATGTTTGATGTTGTGTTGTTTGGAGGGCTTGCAGAAGATATATTCAGGAAGACTGGGATAGCAATAACACAAGAATTTAAGAATAATCTAGAACATGAAAAAAAAAAGTCATCAATGCATCCTTGTAGCAAAGAAGGATAATAACTTTCTGTGCTGCACTAGACAGAGCATTGCCAGCAGATTGAAGAGAGCTGATCCTTGCCCTCTGCTCAGGCCTGGTGAGATACACTGGAGTGCTGGAGTGCTGGCCCAGGTTTGGGATCCCCTGTAGAAGATCCCCTGTGCACACTGGGGCAAGTTCAGCACAGGGCCACAAAGGTAATGAAAGGACTGAAGCGTCTGACCCAAGAGGAAAGGCAGAGGCTGCTCAGCTTTAAGAAGAGGAGGCTCAGGTCAATTCATTCATGTGCATAAATACTTGGCAGGGGAGTTCCCACCCTTGGAGGTGTTTGAAACATCATAAAGTCTCACTGACCCTGCCCTCCACAGAACCTGTAGTAGAGAAATTTCAGAGGCACTTCCAACCTCAGCTACTGTGGGATTCTACATAGTAAGGGAGCAGAAAATACAGAACTCAGTACAAAAGACAACAAATACTTCTTTGTAAGTATTTGTTGTTACTGTAACATAAAATAACAGTGATGTTTGAAATCACACCAACACAGTACATGAAAACATGGGACAACAAAGGAACAAACAAAGGAAACAAATTAAAGTGATTTCAGTGATAACTGAAATCTGGAAGCAACTGGAAGCAAAACTGGAAACTAACAGAAAGCAAACCAAAGGAGAAGCCAAAGGCCACATTTCCATAGAAAAAGATATTAATGGAATAAGTCTGACTGCTGGCCTCAGGGAACCAAAAGGAAAAGTAGGAGTAGTACCTAATAAACTGAGATGTTTAATTTAAAGTCAGTATTAAGTAATGTTTGTATTGCTCTGGGTATTCTAGAAATACTGAAAAATTGTAGGGGCCATGTGTATCAGGTAAAGTTGATTATTTCCTTTTTTTTATTTTTCCCCCTTAATTTGCTGTTCAAGTTTTGTTTGATTGGTAGTTGACATCTTAGTAACTTAGTAGATATTTTCGTAAGGAAAGAACTAGATAAATCATCAGAAATTGGATGTGCTTCAGCATCATCTTAAAAACGGAGCAGCCTTTCATGCAAAGTCAGTCAAGGAAAAGAAAAGACAATAAAATAATTATATACACCCAGATACCAGGCTGAGGAGCATTTTATAGCAGAGTGTAATTGACATTCTGCTATGAATTCACTACTACTACAAATAAGTAGGAAATATTTCATAACAATCCAGACTCACCCAGGCGTGATATGCGATGCAGCGATCACAGTAATTTACATGTAGCTGTGTACCAGAATTCTGCACTTTGGACTCAATACTGTTATGCCAAAGCAAAACTCACTCCTCTTCTGGATTATAGCTGCTTTCTGCCCATAAAGCAAATTGTGTGCTTATTACTTACAGAGACCGGAGTGTGAGAAAGGTAGACATGTTGTACATGCTATTGTCCTGTAGGTCTGCAGGTTCTATAGCAAGACTGCTGAGGTCAACTGAGATGACAGGTCCCTGATGACTGCCCAGTTGGACATGCTGTTTGCTTGTGTTTAAGTCGGGTACATCACCCTGAAGAAAAGACGGGCAAGCTGAGAAGCATATCTCCACATCTCCACAGTTATGCCTCACAGCCTCTCCATGATCCCAGGTAAAGCATCAAGCATGAGCTCTTCTAAAAAGCAGAATATGCTTGGTCACTCTCTTGCTGCCTTTCAGCTCTAAGTAAGAAGAGGGCTGTAAAGAAATAACTTCAACTGTTCTGTTGCTTTCCTGTCAAGTATGATGACCTCTGGGATGAGCTGAGCAGGTTTTACCAGCTCTTCCTGACAACAGAAAGGCACTACCCATCCAATATGCAGCTCTTATAGCAACCCAGGAAAGAGAAAAAATTAACAGCACCCTGATTCATAGCACTGAAAGGGATAGATTGATCCAATCTGTACTGTTAAACTGTGGTCAGCAGGAAAGGAGGGGAGCAGATAATCAAATATCTATTTTATCTCCTTTGATATGTAAATTGGCCAGCTAAAGTCATGAGGATTAAGAGTTTGGACATACCTTGCAAGCAGTGAGATGTCTGTTAACGTGATCAGCTGAAATGAGGAACAGCAGGTGTATCAGTAATGAGGCAAGAGGAAACTTTGCTCTGTCTCCTAAAAAAATGACTGCTATGAAGGCACTTCATAATTGAGAAGCTCCTTTTACCTCAGACTGGTAGAAATCATTCTTTTACATTTTCACTTCCCCAGCCCACAAACCCAAAAGGTGCTCAGAATCACCTGCTGCACGAATGTGTGTGAAGGCACTAAGGAGAGAAGGGCAGTTCGGGCCTCATAAAATTTGCAGTGAGGAGGTAAGGCATATTTTGTAAGACTGCCTGAGAAACAGACACTCCACCCTTGAACTGCTTTTTCAGCAGCGTACATTCCAGTTACTCATTCTTTGCCTTCTGCAGTAAGTAAACCGAGTACTGCTCATAAAATTGTAAAATGAACTTTCCCATGATCAGGGAGATTGGTTATATAGTCTGTGAACCTTAGTCAACCAAACAGATGCAGACTAACAGGCACAGTATACATACTGTGAATAGCCTCTCTACCTGCAGAAGAGCACAACACATTCAGGAAAAAAACATCATCACAGTGAGTAACTGCATATCAGATTTCTTCCTAAGGCTGGTTGTTAGAGTGTACCTGGTGAGAAGTATTTGCATAGTTCAACAATAGCACAGAGGTTGTTTCTTTCAGGAGAGATTTTCTGTAGAATGCCATAAATCTTGTCTTCAAATTTTATGAGACTACCTTGGGAAAAAAAAAAAAAAAAAAGGCTGTAAGCTATAAATATCTTATTTCAAAGAAAACACATCACTCCTTTATTTGCCAAAGTACATAGCTCTAAAATGACTTTAAAGCATCTGAAATGTTCAGTGCTTAATTCTGTTATATAATTCTAAAATACTTCACAGCAGTGAAGGGTGGGGATATAAGAGACCTCTGACACCAAGGATAGGACTGTCCAGGGTTCTCTGTTTTCTAGGACCAAAACTCCATCACTGCACAGTCCTGTCAGCCCTGACAGTGGTGGTGATCAGTCCAGAACTCTTTGAAGCCCCATATTTTTTGCATTTCTAACCATTTTCAGGAAGATAGCCTTACAGATGCCCCTTCACAGGCAGCAGGTGGCAATACAACTATCTGCCTACTGCTGCCCACCAGTGACTCAAGAATTCACCCCTGCCAATCAGTGGTCCACAACCCACCAAGCAGCATCTGTCCCCCAGCCAACTTCCACGCTTCTTCACATACGCTCCTTCACAGTAGCAATGGTGTCACTGCAGTGTCACTACTGTCATGTAGTGGCTAGTATTACTCCAAGAGAGGAGATCTCAGTGCAGCTGCCCCTCAAAGAACCACGTCCTCTAGATGAGCCTTCCCAGTGTTTTGGTTTCCATAGACATTGGACAGAAATGAAAGCAGAAGCAAAGGAAGTGAAGGTTCTTTCTTTGCCTGAAATGCAGCCTTGGTTACTTGTCTAGTGCTATAAAACATATACGGATACAGCCCTTTCAGGGAAGCAAAATCTGGTGAAGAGCAGTGGTTACACCTATGAAAGGGGGAGAGATAGGGAGAAATATTTGAGACTTCCTTGAAAATCATCCAACCCACGTCCAACTGCAATAGCTTTACATCTGTATAATGTTATGTAGTTTAGAACAGCTGTGGCCATGCCCATGCCGTGCTGCTGCATAACATGGTGGCAGCTCTGCCCTTCTACATCACAGCTGTGCCCAGCAGAGCTCTCCAGGTGTGGGCTGAAGGTAGGATTGCGATGGCAGCATTAGAAACATGCTGTTAAAAAACAGAGTCTAAGGTTCCATGCTAAAAATAACTTCCTTGAGTTAATCCATTTGGAAGAAAAAAATCTCTCCATTATTTGACAAACTATATAGCTCTGAACTGATTTTAAAGCATCTGAAACGTTTAGTGGTTATTTCTGTTATGCAGTTCCTAAATCCTTCCTCTCCTGCCCTGTAAGCTGTCATGAGAGATGTGCTTTGTTAGCTGGGATCACCTGTTTCACATACGTTGTCTCAGTTGTCAAAATGACAAAAAGTAAATCCTCCTGCTGAGGTGTATAAAAAAAACATAGCAGTTCAGGCAGGGAAGAGCTCTTAGATTTATGTCAGCCTTCTAATTACTGCAACATTTTAAAAAGGAAGAAGCAAAAAGCAAAACAGCATCAGCCTTTCCAGAAGGTTTCAAAAACAAAGCCCTCATTTAGATGCTGTGTACTCTATGCACTTAAACCACAGCATAACTGAAACTCTAGAGAAAAAAAAATAAAATAGTTTGTTGGTTTTTTTTTTTTTTGGGGGGGGTGGGGGGAGGGGTTGTATGTATTTGGTTTCTTTAATCTTACAAAAAGTACTGTTGCTGACCAGGTATATCTTTTTTTCATCCATTGCATGTGGCTAGCAAGGGATAATCACAAAGAATACAACAGAAAAAGATGTATCCAAAGTATTAAAATCAGAAGAGATTTCGAAAGTTTAAATAACACTGCTATTTTGCTTTGAATAAGTGTTATAGTGCTTTAATTACACTGTTTTCAAAAATGTTTTGCTGTAAGTTCTGGCTTTCTAATACCTGACCAATCTCATCTACATCCTGAGCAATTCTTTCCAAGGTCTCCAAAGAGTTCTCCATCACTCTTTTTCATCGATTCAAGCACCTCTATTAGCCATGAGTGAGAGCTGCAGACATGCCCCATTTGCTCACATAATTGTCATCTGGTATCCTCAAATACTGTTTCGTTCAAATAATCAGGAATCTTTTCATTCTTTCAATTTATTTTATTTCTACCACTATTTGGAATGGAAAGCTTTTTTTTACACAACTATGTGAGTTTTATTTTTCCTGTAGATCACAGACTGAATAGTACTTTTAAAGAAGAAGGGTCAAATCCCAATTTCCTCAGTTTATTCAGAACCTTCCTTCATCAAACTTCCAAACCATTTAACTTAAGATACATATGGACTATGATGTTGAAACAAGAAAAAGCACTTTCTAATCTTACATTGATTTTTTTTTTGGAGTTGAAAGTGCTTAATGTTTTCAGAGAAGCACAGTATAGATTTAGGGCCTGGTCCATTCATGTAAAACTCTAGTATGGAGAGGGTAATGAGCTGACCTTCTGAGTTCCCTCCTAGACTAAATTAATACTCTTCTCTGAAGATCAATGGTGTTAAGCTCTTAAAAACAACAACAACAACACTTACTACTTTATGTTATTTGATGTATACTGTATTATTTAAATACAGTGCCTGGGAATGGTATATTATTATGCTAAATCTTATATGCGTCCATATATATTTTATATTCATGTAGTGTTATCTGCTAAAATATGTACATTATACATACTAAATAATTATAATTGCTTATTATCATATCCATACACATTTATCATTAGCATTCATTGTGATTGGAATCATTCAGAATTAGTACAATTTCATAGAATCATAGAATCATAGAATCACCAAGGTTGGAAAAGACCTTCAAGATCATCCAGTCCAACCGTTCACCTGTTCCCAATAGCTCCCACTAAACCATGTCCCTCAACACAACATCCAGCAATTTCATTTATTTCCATTTATTTTCAAAGTTCAAGTCTTTTTTAAAATAGTTGGGAATCAACCAGAAATGAACTTTCCTAGATTTCAGATGCCCCTGAGATTTCTGATACTCTGTTCATTCCTGTTCTAGCACACTTACATGCTGCACCATTAATCACTGGAGAACTTGCTACAAAATGCATCATGGAAGTAGAATTCCCCATTTACTCATTTCTTATCTTGTTTACAAAAATACAACAAAGATAGTAGGCAAAGACATCCAAGAAAAATGTAGTTTGATGTTAAAACTTTAATCTAGTTTGTTCAGTAAGCAGTGACAAAACAACACATATAAAACAAACATGCACGTACACAAACACCAAGCATATTTAAGGGCATCCATGGAAGAAACATCCATCTTATTTTCCTCTTAAATTCACTGCAAAATCTCCCTCTGACTGCACAGAGAGCAAGAATTTTCTTAGAAGTATTTTTGAAACATTCAGCAATGATGCACACACACATGCTGTGTGATGCTGTGTGGTGCCCTGGTCATTAACTAGACAGCAATTTTTTTTTTGCATAGAAGGGATAGAAAAACTTTAAACACACAGCATAAGAAATTCCACTGAGCAGTGCATTGCATCAGACTGACTTCCTATCTCAAATAATATAGTAGAAATGAATGTACAAAAGAGCAATTAAATTTCTTTGTATTATTATACCAAAAATATAATTTCATATGGAATGAAGTTAGCTATGAATTTATCTTATAATAATAGGAACATTCTAATGTCATTAGAAAGGTGATTTTTCTATTTCTGCAGTAAGTATATGAATTCTACCACTGCTACAATGATGTTCATCATCTGAATGCCTTACAATTTTATCTATGCACCTAATATCTTTTGGGGGCTAATACTCTCAATAAAAAGCACATATGGACAAATTACTCTTTCATACTTATGAGAACTTTATTAAATTTTGCAGAACGATCAACTCAGCTTCTGCAAGTTAATGTACTTACAGCAATTACTTACAAATATGGGCCAGTTAAGCTAGATGGATGGAGCGGCTTCCATCCTAGCTCTCAACTCCGCCACTAAGGAGCTTCTGCTCATGCAGAAGAATGTCATGATCTGAAGAGAATCAAATGCACATAAACACGCTGTTCTGAAATGTACCAAGAGCATTATTGGAAGTAGACAGAAGTCAATACCAAGTAGCTACAACACGAATATATATTCTATTAGTGCACCATTGCTGGGTAGACTGAAGTTGCAAAAGCCTCAAAACATGAGGGAATACCACATGTGACTACAGTGGGCTGTAGTTTTCAAGAAGTTACTCTGGAAAAATTGAGCAGAAAACTGTCTTCAGAAAGAAAAGAAAATCAGGGACCTGCTGTTGGAAAACCACTTTTTCAACCCAGGCCATTTTATGATTCAATGATTCTATGACTCTAAACAGTTTATACAAGTCACGTAATCTGACCTTGTATCTAACCACTTAATAACCTTTTGAAATAGCCCATATCTGATGGCACAGTTAGAGCCATCTTTATGTTGTGTTTGTGTATCTGTAACAAACAAGTCTTGATGAAGAAGATTGTAGTGCTTCAGAATCCAGTACTTAAATGTTATCACTCTATGATGCTTCATAGGTAAGTATTTTGTTATCATTAATGAAGGAAAATAAAACCTCTTCAGTTTGCCTCTTGCCTCCATGCTTGGTTGTAATCCAGCTGGATCCTGCAGAATGGGATGTTTCCACTAGCACTATCCTAGCTTTCCTTGACTGCAGCCAGCCATTTCCTCTGCTCAGTCTGGTCTGGTGCAGGTCATCCTTAGCTTGCAGGAGAGGAACAAGCTGAACTGATTGGTCTGGGGGACAAATGATTTCCCTAAGTTTTGTGTATTGTCCTTCTCCACCATTACACTAGGGAAGTGCATAGTTTAATTAGCTACCCTAAGTAATGTTTAAAATATGTAGTCTCTGCAGATTATCAAATTATCAAACTGTCAAACTCAGTCCTTGAAGAACAGTTTGCATATCCAGTTTCTCTTTGGGTGACTGGGCTTTTTGCTGTGTTAATTTGTAATAGTTAAGTTTCAACTCTCTCAAACTCTCCTCAGGTTATTCTACTTCTGTTTTTTACCTCACAACTTCCACTGCTGAAGAGCACCTTTC